GAAGGTGCACCGCTACGGCCAGGCACGTGACAATGGAGAGAGAGAGAGAGAGAGAGAGAGAGAGAGAGAGAGAGGGGTGCAGGGTGGGAAGGGGTGGGTTGGTTGAGCACTAGACGGTATTATAAGAACGTATAGGTTGAGCAGCATTGAGAGAGACAAAGAGAGAAAGAGTTTAAGTTCAAGCGTTACCACTTAGCGACATTGCATTTGTTTCACAGTCCGGGCGAATCTAATACGTGAGGAGTTGGAGGAAGACATGGAGCTGTACAGGTGTGGCAGGCAGAAGGCCGAGGAGAGGTGCTCGTGGCTGGAGGAGAACCTCAACCAACAGGCTGTGAGTGGCGAGTCGGATTCTTTCTTTCCTTCCTTTCGTCGAAAAGGTTACAAATATTCCAAAGCCTTTGCCTTTCATGCACCGAGACACGAAAGATTAAGTGTGGGTCCCTAAATCAAACCTAACGCGTCCCTGGGTGCCGGGTATAGGAATGCTTCCAAACATGATGCTGGAGGTAACCTGTTCAGTAGTTGTGTGGGTAGTTGGTGGGTGCCAGGTGTGAGCTACTTCTTCTTTCCTATCAAACAGCTATCGCCCTTTCCTTATCTTTCTTCCTTTAAAAAAAAATTTGTTCGTCACTCTTTAGTAGTAACACCTCCAGTCTTTTGGCACTTGTTTGGCCTATTTGTGTTGCAAGTGCCGTTAAACTCTTATGAAAGTACTTGTGGTTGCAAACCGATGGGAGATGATCTCAGAGAGTTGGCAAGAATCATGGCAGCACAGGTGTTTTAATGAATACGGTATCTCAAATACTTAAAGAAGGGACTGTCTTCTTGACAAAAGGCGCCATATTACATTTGTATATCCTGCCAAAGCACTCATTATCTCGTGGGTAAGCACTGGAATGTCAATGGCTAACAGAAAAAAAAACAACAACACATGCACAAACCGGCAGTAGCCAACAGGAAACCATTACTGTGACTTCCCAAGAAAACATGGAGCGTCAAAGTATTGAAGAACGTATAAAACTTGACAATTGCAACACTTGAATCAGCTTATCTACAGTGAGCATGCCTGATCCAAGCGTCTTTCTGGTAGTTTGCAAAGGATTGTGTTGTGCAAAGTCTGAAGTATATATACCATTCATTTTTATTGAGTTGGAGACGGTATGGTTTTAATATAATAATGGTGGTACTAGAAATAGGTGTAATATTTGGAGGGTGGGGGGAGGCAGAGCATTTTTACGGAATGTGCTGTTAGTCTGTTATTATTCCTCCATCCATTCCCCACCCACTCTTAGTAATGGGTTGACAAGATTAGTTGTAAGGGGTGGGAAGAATGTTTGGTGTGCATGAACTTTTATTTTCTCTTCTCCAGAATATCATCAAAGGACTGGAGCAAACACTACTGGGCTTAAAGCCGTCTTCCATGGAAGGTACCCGGGCATCTTCATCTTTGTATATTGTTATAATGTGTTTTCGCAGTGAAGTGTGACAGAGGAAGAGAGAGAGAGAGAGAGAGAGAGAGAGAGAGAGAGAGAGAGAGAGAGAGAGAGAGAGAGAGAGAC